ATAAGAACTCAAGAAAAGGTTTAAACACAGAAGAAAACATTCTTTGATGGTTATGGGGGTGGGAAGGGAGGGTGAGGGTTATTTACTAACTAGATAGTAGATAAGAATTATCTTAGGTGAAGGCAAGGACAGTACTCACTACAGGGGAAGTCAGCACACTGGACTAAACCAAACCTAAGAAGTTTCCTGAATACAATCACTTAGAGGGGGAGAGTAGCAGGGGTACGGGTCTGGGGACCATTCTTTCAGGGGACATCTAGGACAATTGGCATAAAAAAGCTTATTAAGAAAATCTTCTGCGTCCTACTTTGGTGAGTAGTGTCTGGGGTCTAAGATGCATCAATTTGTCCCAACCACCTGGAGTAAAGGAGAATGAAGAATACCAAAGACACAAGGAAAATAGTAGCCCAAGAGACAGAAAGGGCCACATAAACCAGAGACTTCATCAGCCTGAGACCAGAAGAAGTAGATGGTGCCCGGCTACCACCAATGACTGCCCTGACAAGGAACACAACAGAGAGTCCCTGATGAGCAGCATAAATGTGGGGTGCAGAACTCAAATTCTATTAAGAAGATCAGACTTAATTTTCTGACTGAGACTGGAGTTACCCCAGAAAGCATGGCCCCTGGATTCTCTATCAGCCCAGAACTAAAACCATTCTCAGGCCAACTCTTCAGACAGGGATTGGACTGAACTGTGGGACATAAAGTGATACTCATGAGGAGTGTGCCTCTTAGCTCAAGTAGATACAAGAGACTAAATGGGCAGCTTCTGTCCGGAGGTGAGATGGGAAGGCAGAGAGTGTAAGAAGCTGGTTGAATGGACATGGTGAATCAGGGGTGGAAAGGAGGAGTGTGCTGTCCCAGTATGAGGAGAGCAGTTAGAGTCACATATCAATGTATGTATAAATTTTTGTATGGGAAAAAAATTCTTGCAATGAGCAGACCAGATGAATAGCCAACTGGGCTAGAGGAATATTGTGAAAGTCCACCCACATAAGCCACCTAATCACCTGAATTTTCTACTTGAAACTTGTTTTTTTTAAATCCCCATATGGCTCATACCTCACCTCCTTCAAATCCCTGCACAATGGCCCTTTATGAAGGAGGCCTCCCTTACTGTGCTGAGTAATATTGCATCCTATCTCCCCACTTCTCAGCTTCCTCAAAATCTCTCGTTCTTTCCATTGTGATAACCACATCCTAACAAGCTATATAATTTAGTATTCTTTCACAGTTCCTCACTGTCTTCCTTGAATAGATAACATCTACGCTGAAAGGGGTCTTTGTTTTTCTTGTGCTCTAATGTCTCCCATGCATCTGCAACAGTGCCTCAAACAGAGTATTTGCTCAATTATTTTGTTAGAGCGGTGAATAAACATGTCACCTCACCTTTGTTGTTCTTTTTATGATTCTGGCTACTCTAAATGTTCCCTTTAACTCATCCTCCAAGCTGGACTGATCAATGTTTCATGAATGAAAATGAATCCCCTTTTGGAGATAAAATGTTTAGAATTAATAAGCTTCCAGAGTAGACACAAGCTCAGTTTACATGTCTCCTCAGACTTTAGAGCCTGCACAAACTTCTTGAAAGTCAACTTTTTCACCCTTCATTTATGTTTCCCTGGGCTATATCTGCAACTATCTTTAAATAATTACATAAACATTATCAATATCTTTCTGTAATTTGCATTTCATAACCCTTTTTCTGAACACAATATTAATTTTTCCTGCAGAACTCTTCCTGCAAACACAGGCAAAAGGATCATCTCTTCTTAGCAAGAAGATGAGACCATGGAATTCAGGTGCGTCTTTTCTACAATTACTCTGAAAACACTACAGCCACTATCACCTACAAAAATAACATTTGTTAAAGTGGTCTTTAAGATCGATGTCAGATGCCTGAAAGGAATTGAATATATCTTAGCACATGGAGTGTGAAATATTATTCCAATGAAACAGTGTTTCTCACTGGGTTGGACACATTCACTGCCTATACAGGCAGGAGAGATGTTTTCTGTGGGAACAAGAGGCAGAGTTTCGCCTTTGCCCACCTCCTTCAGGGGACACAACATTCCTCTTCTCTCTTCCCATCATGGCCCTGTCTGGAGCCTCTCTCTCCTGTCCTTAACCCAACATACTGAAACTCACAAAATGGACGCTTAGGATTCAGGTTAGTTGCATTTGAACAATAATAATATAATGTTTATTAGTTTCCAGCAAGCAGTGGATATATATTGTTTCTGAATGACTGTTTAGAATGATATGTGTATTGGAATTGGTAGGCTTTGGAGCATCTGAAATCATATTTTCAGTGCCTGGGTGCATTGTGAGCCTCAAGAATTCTGAAATGATGTCTCTAAACACTGATGATCAATTTCAGACAGAACTCCCCAGAAATTTGCCTACTGCCCTTAATAAGGAGGGAGGACCCTCTCCAGTTTTTGGAGATTTCTTGTTGTTAGGTGTCATCGAGTTGGTTCTGACTCATAGCGACCCTCTGTACAGCAGAAGGAAACGCTGCCCAATCCTGCGCCATCGTCACAACTCTTGTTATGCTTGAGCCCATTGTTGAAGCCACTGTGTCAATCCATCTCGTTGAGGGTCTTCCTCTTTTTCGCTGACCCTGTACTTTACCAAACATGATGTCCTTCTTTACAGACTGGGCCCTCCTGATAACAAGTCCAAAGTATGTGAGAAGGAAGTCTCGCCATCCTTGCTGCTAAGGAGCATTCTGGCTGTACTTCTTCCAAGACAGATTTGTTCTTTCTTCTGGCAGTCCATGGTATATTCAATATTCTTCGCCAACACCATAATTCAACTGCATCGATTCTTCTGCAGTCTTTCTTATTCATTGTCCAGCTTTCCCATGCATTTTGGATACTAGAGAAGCCATTTCCAAGCATCTTTCCCAGTGCCTAAGTAACCTTTGTTCCTAGAAGTTCAGGTGAACACACTAACTGGCTGCCCACGGTGGCGCAGGAACTACACTACCCTGACTACTCTGCGCCCACCGCATCCCTCAACCAATGAAAGCTGAGCTAATGATCATTTCCGCGCAAGCGCAGCTTGTTGGGGCGGAACTTTCGGTTTGTCTTGGGGCGGCCGTTTTAGTTATTGTAAGATGTATTCATTCATACAGAGTTTCGAAGCGTCGCATTGGCACGGAGGTCACGGGCCGGAGAAGTGCCGAGAGGAGGCTTTGTTCTCACCGCACACGGCGTGTGTGCGACTTGGCGCCGGCGCCGGCTGAGGAATAGTGAGCGCTAATCCCCGCCCGCCGCCCGCGGCGCCCGGCCCGCTCCGCCCATAGTCTCCATGGCAGCCGCCAAGCTGAGGGACCTGGCCCTGGCAAGTACTGTGTTCTTCAGGCCTCCCCGTCCTGACCTGTATCTCCCAATCCTCAAGCCCGAATGGGGCGCCTGCTCAGGTTCCTGCAGCACAGACCCTGCTCCTGCGCAAGGCGCTCGTGGTGGGGACCCCGTTTCCCGAGAACTTGTGTGATGAGGGGCGGGAGAGAGCCCCTGGCAGAGGTAAAGGCTGGAGGTGCAACTCAGCCAGGAGCAGCAGGGAAACCTGGGTTCCGACATGTGTCTACAGGGATCAGACAGTGTTAGGAATCGCACCTGGATGGCAGGCTGAGGAGCTGTGCGTTCATTCTGAGGACACTGGTAGCCATGGAGGGTTGTAGACGAGAGGGAGATGGTAAAAATGGTACTCAGAGGAAAAACAGACTGGAAAGAGGATGATAACAGTGAGGACCACAATAACGCAGTGATCGTGAGGTCACTTGGCTCCATCCGGGCTGGACAGGGCCACAGGGAGGTCTGAGACCTTGGTATGACATCTATGACATCTCCCACTTCCCACACTTTTTATTTAGGTGGAAGTGCTTATGGACCCTACACAATGGAGTGGAGGGTGTCACTAGTCTTGTCACTTGGTTTGTAGTGTCCTGGACTCTTCATCGGCCTCTGTTTTTAGCCTTTGAACATGGGGACCTCAAGCTTAGGGACTAAATTTATTTCAGGTGCTCCCTGGAGTGGTTCCTGTTGTTAGTAAGCAATGAAATGAGATCTGGAAGTTTGTCCCACGCATAGGTACCTGTATATGCAAATACTTGGAGGCGAGTCTGAGCTGGAAGTGTTCAGGAAATCTTAGGTCTCCATTGTTTTTCATTGGGAACAGAGTACAGGGGGGCAGGAGTTAGGCTTGAGAAGTTGAGTGTCTAATCTGGAGGTGATGGAAACGGTGGAAGGTTTGGTACAGGGAGGGAGGTTTCATCAGGCTGTCTGTGGCTGCAGTGTAGAGACCAGACTAAGGGTATGCAGGGTGTGGTAGGAAGACTAGGGAGGAGGCTACTGCATCTGTCCAAGTGTGTGTTGACATTGACTGCAATAGTGAGGTAGCCATGGAGATTGGCAGAATAGTTGGATTCTGGAGCTGTCTTTTACTGTGGTCTGCTTTGGTTTTCTGATTTTGTCCTTGAGAGATCAATGTAGGAGTCAGGATAACACCAGGGTTTTGAGTTTCAACATGAACTGAGAAGGAAACGACAGTAGTAGGAGTAATTTGGTGTAGGGTTGGTCTCAGGAGCTTTTTTTGATCATGTTATAAGTCTGAGATGTTTCAGAGAATAAATGAGTGAAAGCATGAAGTGGGCAGTTGGACAACAGATCCAGAATTCTGGGAAGAAGTTCAGGATGGAAACATCTTTGTGGGAGAAAGACCTGACAAGCTGATCCCATAAAGATTACAGCCTAGAAAACTCTATGAGGCAGTTTCACTCTGTCACAGGGGTCGCTATGAGCTGGAATTGACTCAGTGGTGCATAACAACACCCACAACAGTGTGTGTATCAGGAAGAAGCAGTATATCACATTAAGTAGAGGAATGTATGGTTGTAGTGGTAATGCTATAATAGCAGGCTAGTAAGGGGGAAGTTAGGGACCAAGAACTGGGTCTCCTGCTTGGGCCCAGGATTGAAAGTGTTGGGTGCCACAAACACAGATAAGGTAGAGAGGTGGCCATAGAAGACTATAGGAGTGAGAATGATCTGAAAGGTGACCAAGACTTCTGAGGGATGAGGGGACAGGAGATATACCTGAATACACAGGAGTAATAGAAGCAAGATGACAGTAATTTTGTGGTTGAAACTCATTCACTGCTCTGTGGGCTTACCAGGATTTTGTGGTGACCCTTGATGGTGTCTGAGATATTTTGGTCAGGTTGGTAGATTAGCTCAGGTACCCAAGTGGTCTCTGGGAGAGTCACTGGGCTTGGGGTGGGGGGGCCGCTGGGGCCTGGTTTTGCAGGAGGCTTAGGTGGAGAGAGGAAGGCTATGACTGGTGAGGGGGCAGCAATGTAGCACAAGTGGAGAAAGGATGAGGGGTTTCTGGTCTACTGAGGCAAGGAACTGACTGAGGCAGGGAGTCCTTCATGACAAAATTCAGGTCTGCCCTGGCAGTGGAGACTATCAGAGGTCTGGGGTATATATTGCTCCTTTGAATTTCCCAAGTTCTCTTTAATGCCACGTGATCAGTAACATGTGGGGAGGCCAGGGGAGTGCCTGTGGTGTGGGGCAGGGAGGGGGAGGAGGCTGGGGAGTGCAGAGTGGAAAAGAGTGTGGGACAAAGAGAGGTGTGCACATGGAGACTAGTGTGAACTGATGTCCCAGGACCCTGTGGGTGGGACTTGAGGGTGAAGGTAAGCCCATATTTGGTTGTGTCTGGTAGGCATGATCTGGGAGATCCAGGGAACTTCCTGACAAGAAGGTGCTCACATGGCCTGCGTGTCAGATCCAGAGCTTAGATCTCATCTGTCTGTCCACCTGCCTTTTGGTGCTGTGGGCTGACATAGAGATCAGTGGGACCATGAGGGGAGAGTGAGCATCAGTGACACCAGCATCTCATATATCCTCTGAGATGGGGGCTGGGGAGGAGGGTGAGCAGGGGATTGGTATATGGGGGAGAGGTGAAGTCATAGGAGACAAGCTAATAATGGAATGAACTGTTGTCCCCATCTTGGCAGGGCTGTGTCACCTTTGAGGACGTGGCCATTGACTTCTCCCAGGAGGAGTGGGGGCTCCTTGATGAAACTCAGAGGCTGCTGTTCTACGATGTGATGCTGGAGAACTTTGCAATCATAGCATCATTGGGGAAGGCAGTGAACCCATTCTAATGTCCTGAACTTGTCTCTGCCTTTTGTCTTTTCCGCAGAGACAGCTCTGTACTTCTACATCCAGACCACGGCCTCTGCTACCTTCTCTACTTTTTATGGTGTGTGTGCTGCAGGGCCCTGTTCTGAGCTGTGTGCACTGCCCTGAGCAGTGCACTCCCCGAGGCATCCCCATTACCTGCTGCCTGAGAGTGTGCAGGAAAAAGCCTGAGAGTGAGGAGTCTTCCATTCAGCCCAGTGGATCCCACCCTGCTTATCCTCTCCCTGACTGGGTGATATGTCTACATCCATACCACCTCTGTGCCCCAGCTTCTGCCCCCTTCCTCTACCTGACTTTTCCTCCTGCCTACCTGTGCCAGGAATTGCAGACATTGTCATGGTCACTACTGACATGGACTTGTTTTATCTTGTCATCTGTTATGTGATTACTTGCTCTGGGTCAGTGCTGGTGCTCCCGTCCTGCCTTTTGCTTAGGACTTGAATCATGCAGGTCTCATCATTGAGGACAAGGCGTGAGGGGATAGTCTGGTTGCTTCTCAGGGTGGACATGGCTAGGTGGTCTATAAGTGGCTTGACCCTGCTAGGCCGCAACTAGAGGAAGGCACAACAGCAAGGCTATGATCAGCTCATGCCAGAAACCTACCCTGTGTCCACCAGAGTTTATAAATACCACTGGCCACACCTTTTTTCTACATTTTCTTCTCCATACTTGGCACTTTACTGACTTATTTGAATGACTTCCAACCCTTGGCTGCCATCACTTTCCTGCCTCCACTTGTCACTAGTTCCTCCACAATGTTCTCTAACAGTAACCCAAGCACAATGTGTCAGAGATGTACTTGTATACTTAATAGTCTGTCAACACCATCTTCTCAATTCCAAGTGGTTTTTCCTGGGTCTGGATTACAACCAATCATTTGTACACCATGCACAGGTCACCAGGTGACATGGTCCTACTGAAGGCTGTTGACACAGAATTGACGTGAAAATCCTGCCTCTGCTCCCAGTCTTGCACCCTATCCTTCTGTCCTTTGTCTGCTGAGGCCTGCCCCATTCTGTGATAGATGACCTGTACTTCCAGGAGCTCTTGCTTCAACCTGTCCTCAGCTGCATCACCTCAGAATAGTCCTTTGGACTCTTTCTTTGATGTGTTTGACACACATTTTTTAAATTGTTTTGTAAATTTATCACAATTTTATCAAATTCCGTATTTTTCACCTGTATAATTCAGTGACACAAATTACGTTATGTTGTGCAACTATCACCAGTAATCATTGCTATGACGTACATTTTTATTGTGACTTCTATGTCCCAAAGATGGAAATATTAACCTCTCTCCTTTCAGGTTGTTTGCATGGAAGACAGGAGGAGGTGGAGACATCTTCTGGGCACAGTGTTTCTGTAGGAGTATCACAGGTCAGGACTTCACAGGCAGGTCCGTCCACCCAGAAGACTCACTCCTGTGAGAGGTGTGCTTCAGTCTTGAACAACATTTTGCATTTGGCTGAGCACAAAGCAGCAAACCCTGGGCAGAAACTGTACCTGTGTAGGGTGTATGTGAGAGCCTTCTGGCTCAGTGCCAGCCTTCCACAGCACCAGAAGCATCATAGTGGAGAGAAACCCTTCAGACAAGACGTGGACAGGAACTTGTTTGTGGAGGGCTGCAAATTCCAAGTATCGGGGCAGCCCTTTGCCTATGGGGAGGTTGGGAAGGACTCCCCTGTTTTCTCAGGTCTTTTCCAGCACCAGGCTATGGCCAACAGTGAGAAGCCACTAAGTGACCTCAAGTATGGGGACACTTTTCACAGTGGAGTCTTTACAAATGGAGTGAACGTGAGAAAGATTCCAGTCATAAACAGATGCCTGATCACCACCAAAGCATGTCCACTGGAAAGGGGCTTTGTGGGGTTAGCAAATGTGGGAAAGCCATCAGCTGCAAGTACAGACTTGTTCAGCATCAGGGAATTCACACCGTAGAAAGACAGTATGGAGAAAGACGGTATGAGTGTTGCGAATGTAGGAAATTTTTTAGCCATTAATCCTCCCTTAGTAGACACCTGAAAGTTCACACTGGAGGAAGGACTTATGAGTGTAGTGAATGTGGGAAATTCTTTACTCAAAAATATGGCCTTATTCAACACCAGAGAGTTCACACTGGAGAAAGGCCTTATGAGTGCAGTGAATGTGGGAAATCCTTTATTCAAAAACCTGGGCTCATTCAACACCAGAGAGGTTATACAGGAGCAAAGCCTTATGAGTGTGGGGAATGTGGGAAATCACTGAGCAATCGCTCCAGCCTCATTCTACATCGGAGAGTCCACACTGAAGAAAGGCCTTACAAGTGCAGCGAATGTGGGAAGTTCTTTAGGAAGAGCTCACAGCTTATTGTACACAAGAGAATTCACACTGGAGAAAGGCCTTATGAGTGTAGTGAATGTGGGAAATCCTTTAGCAGTAGCTCGTACCTTATACACAAGAGAATTCACAGTGGAGAAAGGCCTTATGAGTGCAGTGAATATGGGAATCTATTTAGGGATAGATCCCACCTTAGACCACACAAGAGAATTCATACTGGAGAAAGGCCTTATGATTGCCTTGAATGTGGGAAATACTATAGCCGAAGCTCAACCCTTACTCAACACCAGAGAATTCACACAGGAAAAAATCCTTATGAGTGTGGCATATGTGGGAAGTCATTTAAGGATCGCCGTAGCCACATTCAACATCAGACAGTTCACACTGGGGAAAGGCCTTATGAGTACAGTAATGTGGGAAATCCTTTAGTAGAAATTGCAGCCTTGCTAAACAGGAGAAAATGCACACTGCAGTAAGGCCTTGTGTGTGTATAGAATGTGAGAAATTCTTTAGCCAAAACACGTTTATTCAACACCAGTGAGATCATAGGAACAAGGCCTTCTGAGTATGGCGAATATGAGATATCCTTTAGCCACAGTTCCAGTCTCATTCAGTGCTGAAAATTTCATACCAGAATAAGGCAACATATGTGGGAACACCTTCAGCACAAGGTCTTTTCCCAACAAAGTCCACAGAGAGAGTAGGTGGTGTGGTAGCTCTTGCCATTCTAGAGAGGCTTTGAGAGGGAGTCGTCTGCCTGTGTTGTATATTAAAAATTTCCCCAGGCTCCTCCAAGAATTCTATCACTACCAGTTTCTATGGCAGAAGCCCTCTCACCTCTACCATCTTGCAGGTTTCTACCATGTGACTCAGTCACCTCAGAATGCTCAGGCAAGGCAGGCAACTGTTTTCTCCTGCTCCCTGGAGAAAATCACAGGCAGACTCAGCAATTACGGGGTTTTCATTCCCTTTTCTGACTAGATAGGGCATGGACAAGGAATCCTGGTGGCACAGTGGTTAAGCTCTTGGCTGCTAACCAAAAGGTTGGTGGTTTGAGCCCACCAGCTGCTCTGTGGGAGAAAGATTATGGCAGTCTGCATCCATAAAGATTACAGCCTTGGAAACCCTATGGGGTAATTCTACTCTGTTCTATATGTTCACTATGAGTTGGAATCGAATCAATGGCAGTGGGTTTGGTAGGGCATGGACCTGACCCAATTATGTCCAAGAGAATCGGTTTGGGTTCTGGTGGCAGTTAGCCCAGAAGCTTAACCTTGTTCATGACATTTTTGGTCTAATGTGATGCTCATGATTAATTTTTTCCAGACTACAGTTGACCAACCAGTATAACTTTCTGTCTCGCATTCCTCCCATTTGTGCAATAGTAAAGTCCTATTGATTAAGCCATTTATCTTTGTCAGGATTCTCTAGAGGAACTGAGCCAATCTGGCATGTGTGTATATATATACATACACACACACACACACAGAGGAGAGGTTATATTAAAAAGTTGGTTCATGGTTGTGGAGCTAGCAAGTCCAAAATCTATAGATCAAGTAACAGGCTGGAGTTTATGTCTGTGTTTTGCCCCGAAATCTGTAGGTCAGACAACGGGAAGAGAGTGGAGTTCTGACAGTATGTCTTTATAGTCTGGGGAATACACCATAAGCAAAACTCCCCTTTTCTTCAAGTGATTGGAGTAGGCCCACCCACATGATGGGAGGTAATCTGCTTTAATTAAGGCCAGCTGATTTAATCACATAATTTCACAACAGCATCTAACTGACGTTTGATCAAATGACTGGGCACTGTAGCCATCCAAGTTGCACATAAAATCAACTATCACTTTGTGTAGCTCAGCAGTGACAGTATGATGTGAGTAGCTCTTTGCTGAGGTTTGGCCTAATGTGCATTGCTGACCAAAATTTTCTTGGAAAGTGCAGGAATTTGGGGCCTAATTAATAACCTGGATGCCTGGATTTCTTGTGAGACCAGATGTCCCCTTGATGAGAATACAGTTGTGACAACCTCTAGTGTTTCTGGTAACAGCATGAATTTGTTTCCTTGTCCTCAGGGAATGTCCCCTTGTAGAGGGGAAACATTTTCGCAGGTCCTATGAAAGAGCCATGTGCCCTGAAGTCCAGAATTCAGTAGGAGACTGTTTTTGGTAAGACTACAGGGGCCAGGTGGGAACCATAATTTGTACAGAAACACTGACTGTGATTAACAGGCACTGATGAAGACTGCAGCAAATTCCAGACAGTGCGCTTACAAACGTATATCCACGAATGTTCCAGTGACTATGGCTGAGCAGTAGCCCCATGGAGAAACATTTTCAGGACATCCAGACCTGCCTATGTTCCATGGCTAAGGTCATTGTTGGAGCAAAGATTTTGTGGATTCCTGTATACTATCTGGGCTGTTGGCCAAGTACATTGCTGTTTAGGCAGGAAAACAAGGATAGAAATCAAATGTTATAGTCAGTGATGTGACTTTGTGACTTAGCCAGCAGGCCTATCATTCTAGATGCTGTCATTGTTAACTCATATTTCCTCCAATTCATGGCTCCCCTTCTCCAGTCATGAGGAAAGAGATAGTAGTGTGGATATATGGTTGCCAAACCTGGTTTTCCGAATAGAGTAGGGATCTGGATATTTATTTTGAAACATTTTAAAAGCTTTATTGTGGTATAATTGACATGCAATCAACTATGTAAAGTATACAAGTTATACGGTTTTGACATACATAGTTATCGATGAGTCCATCATAATGATGGTAACGAATATATACATCACCTGTTATTTACCCTGTGCCCTTTTATAGTCTATCTTTCCCTGCCCTCCCCGGCTTTCTAGACAACCACTGATTTACATTCTTTCACTATACTTGGTGTACATTTTCTAGATTCTTAATAAGTGGAATCACGATGTATTTGCTCTTCCCTCCCCCCCCCCGTTATCCACCTCTTTTCTCAGTTTAACATCCATTTATTTACTTCCTCCCTTATCTCATTCTATTTCATTGCCACATTTAGAGCACTTCTGGCATTTTTCCCATTATGGGCCTAGCTCAGTGGCAGGTGGCAAGTGAGCTTAGGAAATCCCACAAAACCAGCCAGCATTTAGCATGCTGGGGCTGGGAGGAGGTTTTTGGTGAATTTGGGTGGAGTGTGTAGAGAAAATAGTGTCCTTCCAGTGTTTTTACTGACTTTCTGATGATTCTGCCCACGGCAGAGCAGGGAACTGCAGGTGAGGGTCTACTCTGAGACCTCCTTACAAACTAGGAGAGATATTTGAGGTAGGAATCTCTTGAATCCTTTGATTCTTGGCTATGTGGACCAGCTGGTATTTCAGGAAAGTCCCTTGTCTCTGAGACGACTTCTGCATGAGACAGTGTCCTTGAGTGACAGTCTGATTTGGACAGTGCCAGGTCACAGGGCTGCATCCATGTTATGGCTAAAACAAACTTCTCTGAACTAGCAGGCCCCTCACTCCTTGAGATCACCACTTTCCCCTTCCTGTATCCTCAGCTTACTGTCTCCTTTCTCCCATAGGTTAGGGCACTTTGAAAAAGGACATCCTTGGCCCTCCAGTCAAACACTTTTGGCTTCAAGTTTCAAATTAGGATGTTGAAGAAGCAGACAACCTCTAGAGGATGCCAAGATTTCCCAGACCTGTGAGGCAACCCACACATTAAGCCCCAACCCTAGTGAGTCCAGGAGGCCCTAGCAAGTCCTGTGTGGTCCATTGCCCCCTTCAGCCTGCCCTCCACCCCTGCACCAGATCAGGGGGCAGAGAACACATCATCTCATTCTGATCAGAGTCTAATTACTGTGTAACTTAGACTCCTAATCCAGTAAAGAAAATCACAACTTCACCCTCTAAATCCAAGGTATAGGGTGTGTCTAGGAGACTCTTGAGCAGGTTCTCCTGGTCCCCTTTGCACATCTTCCAGGGAAATTGTTGTCAGCATATTTGAATATCAGCACTATGTGCAGGGCTTTAGAGATTAATGCAAAAATGTCTGTACATGATATATCCTCTTGTCTAACAGCTGGGTCCCACATTGTATGGTTTAAGTTAACCTCACTCAGAATTTGGTCTTTTTTCTAGGTTCCTTGGAGGTATCCTCTAAACCCTTGGAATTTGGAGTGACTGGAATGTTTGTTATGCTAACAAGATTAGTCAGGTGTGGGGCCCAGAAGAACCACCTGGTGATACCCACCCTACCTCCAGTGAGGGGAAAGGGGCTGGATATTGAGTCCATCTGTGTGTGCAGTGAGTCAAAGGCCTGGTGATCTGTTTCCAAAAATCAACCACTTAAAACCCTATGGATCACAATGGTCTGTGTTCTGTTGTGCATGGGGTCACCATGAATTTGGAGCTGACTTGATTACAACTAACAAAAAAACCCCGATAAACACGGCACAAGCTCGTGTGAGCTTCTTTGTTGGTGATAGACATTGATATACCAGAGGGTAACGCATCCCTTGGGACATGAAAGCTTCTTGCTGGGGTCTCTCCCAGAACTCACTCTATGCATCTTAATCCTTGTCCGGTTTGTATCCTTTCTTTTTCTAATAAAAGTGTGAGTGTAGTGCTTTTCTGGTTTCTGTGAGTCATTCTAGTGAGTTATTGCACTGTAAGGGATAATGAGAGACCTTAAATTTATAGCAATCAGGTCAGAAGTGAGGGGGCCTTGGGGACACCTGAGCTTTTACCTGGTGTCTGAAGTCTTAGGCAGACTTGGCGGTCTGGAGGACTGTGCCCTTTAACTTGTGAGGTATGACCTAGCTCCTCATGGTCAGGGTCAAAAAAACTGCATTTGTAGTTGATGTCAGGGAAGATATTTAGTTTGAAATCTCTAAGTTGTAAGTGATGATAAAACAATTGCTATCTATCTAATTAAATTAGCTAATGAAACTACATTTTTGCCTAATAATATTTTCTAAGTCTAGAAGGATCCTACACTCATGTTACTGTAAAGAATTTCAAACTGAGAAACCATGATTCATTTTATGTTTGTCTAGACATGGTAAGGAACCTTGGTGGCACAAGGGTTAAGTGCTCAGCTGCTAACCAAAATAGCAGTTCAAATCCACCAGTGGCTCAGTGGGAGAAAAGACCTGGTGATCCGCTCCCATAAAGATTTCAGCCTAGGAAACCCTCTGGGGCAGTTATGCTCTGTCCAGTAGGGTTGCTCTGAAACAGAATCGACTTTACAACACAATAACAGACAAGTTAATGCAAAATTCTAACAAGAAGTTCATTATGCAAGGTGAAGATCTAAACCTGAATTATACGTTTGGCAAATGTATTTTTAAATATATGTGGTGTCTTGGTTATCTAGTGCTGCTGTAACAGAAATACCACAAGTGGGTGGCTTTAACAAACAGAAATTTAT